ATAGATAGTTGGTTTTCAAAACGTTAGAAGTCCACAGAATTGATGTTACAAACATTTCTGTATTAATGTTCATTTTGATTAGGGACCTGTCTGCTCCTGACAGGTTCCTGTCTTGGATTCTAAGAAGAAATTGAGCATCTTTAGAGTTACTCCAGTTATGGTGAGACAGCCACTAGTCAAAAATTGCCTCTTTTCATCTACAGACAAATTACTGTCCTGAAAAGGACACACTTGCAGAATAGTTGACTGATTATATCTGCCAAGACAGAGTAATCGGCCCTTAATAATTCTGCATTACTATGTCTGTCATATGATCCTGGGCCAGAAGGCTGAAGATCAGATGCTCCAACGTTTTGTAGTATAGGGACTGTCCAGGTGTTCAGTGGTCTCTATAAATTGGCTAAGTTTTAGAAGCTATGCTTTGTGCTTCCTATAATTTCAGTTAATTCAGTCATTCTGGATTTCTGATGGGGTTGAAGACTTATAGTCTCATAGCCAATCCCAGCTATTTACTTTGAGAGAAAAGACTTGAGAGGATGGTTTTCAGCTGCCATTCATTCTAAAGCCAAGAAAAAAACCAGGTTCAGAACTAAGTCTTTTGGTTAGGAGAGATGACAGAGGTTCTGGTTAGTCAACGAAATGATGGACTAGGTATTAGGTCTATCTTGTACCTTACTAATACAAATTGGTATAGTTATGCTCTAATTGTATTTTGAGAGAAAAGTTTTATCTTAACAGGAAGGGTGATATGTAGGAGGAGCTATGGTGGGAGGAGTAAAAAGAGGAAGAGGAGGAGTAAGGAGAGGAGGAGGAGGAGCTAGGAGATGGGAGGAGAGAGAGAAAGAGAGAGAGAGAGAGAGAGAGAGAGAGAGAGAGAGAGAGAGAGAGAGAGAGAGAGAAAAGGGTAAGTAGGTAGGTAGGAAGGAGGGGAACATGGAGGCGGATGTTCGCGTGTCTCCGGGATTCAAAGGTAGTTAGTATATCTAGCTTGGGTATTGGGTTACACTTCTGACTGTATGGGCATCTTGTTATTGAGCATTAGCAAACTTACAAAGCCTTTGATTAACATTTAAAAAAAAAGTCCATACAATAAAAAAATAAATAGGTAAAAATGACGGGAGCTGGAATGTAAATGGATGGGTACTCCCTGCAAAATTCAAGAGTCCTGTTTTTTTTAATACAGTATTTGGGGGGAAATGCCTGTTTAATTCTCTTAGAAAGTTATACTATCTATATGTGTATCTACTGAAAGATAAACATTTACATTGCTAAATACAAGAAAGACAAAGCTACCACAAATTTCATAGGTACTATATCCAAAGGAATCATATTTAATAGTGCCAATAAATAGTCTTTCATTTATTCAGCTAGTATTTATTATTTATATTATATACAAGGCATACTACTACCTTGAAAAACATTTTAAACACTCATGACATGCCCTAAATCATGTTATGTTTTTATGTAGAGTATTTTATCTAAAAATCTTGAGTCCTGAATCAGTCATCTATATCAACTATATTTTTTGATTACATACTTTATCAGATAGTTCCAAAAAGAATTGCAAGATTTCATCTCAGTTTTAAAAAAAAGTATAAATTTATGCTGCCGATCTAAAAATGACCTTAGAAACAGGCAAATATTTGTAAGAATAAACATAAGGCTCTTAACACTCACCAAAGAGTCACATTTCCCAGGAGGTGCGCGTTGTTAAAGAGACCTCCAAAGGGCTAAAAATAAATAAATGGCTACAGGAAGTGACCTAATGCACCACTCACAGTCCACAGAAAAGCATGTTGCAATGGCTTGTCTAAAGATTCCCTCCAAACCCCAAATGACTAGAAAAAGAGGAACTTAAGGCCCTGGGAAGACACGAAGTAACTGACGTTGCACAGCACACACTGTAAGAATGGCCAGAGACAAAGGACTTTAGGAAAGCTGAATTGAGGGTCTGTCCCCCAACTGGTTTTTAGAGCCACACTTTAGAAACGGAAAGTAAAGCCACAAAACAGGGAAGAGGCATTAGAGTCAAGCCTCAACGCAAATCTCACTTTTCCTCAGTCATTCAGTTATTTTAGACAAACTTGTTTACCAGTTGTCTTAGAGTTTATATTGCTGTGATAGAACATCATGACCAAAAGTAACTTGGGAAGAAGACTTTATTTTACTCTATATCCATATGACAGTCCAACACAGAGAGAAGTCAAGGTGGCAACTCAAACAGGGTAGGGACCCAGAGGCAGGAGCAGATATAGAGACCATGAAAGAGTACTACCTATAGGCTTTGCTCCTCATGGCTTGCCTTCTTACAGTACCAAGGATCACCAGTCCAGGAACGGCTCCACCTACAGTGAGCTGGGCCCTCCCCCATCATTTACCAATCAAGAAAATACAGCATAGTCTTGGCCAGAGGCCAATCTGGTAGGGGGCATTTTCTCAAGTGAGGTTCTCTCTATTCAAATGTCTCTAGCCTGGATCAAGTTGACATAACACTAGCCAACACACCAATCAAAACCTCTGTTCCTTCTATGGTTTGAGGGACCAAGAAATCTGGTTGGTGGACTTTTGAAATGAGATGAACATATATAAAAATATTCAGGTGAGTGTCTTGACAATATTATTAACTAGCCTTTAATTTTATCAACAGTAGGAAAATTAGTTATTCCAAAAACTCTTGGTCATTCACTGCTTTGGAACAAGAAATGGAGGACTTGTCCCCATCCCCACCCTGACCTGGTCCCAGGCCATCTGGATATTCTCATGCATTCATGAGGAGGTGAAAGTTCATCCACCCTGCCTGGCTTTTTTCTAAAGCACTCTGAACAATGTAGGTGGAAGTTTGTCTGAGTACCATGCTTCAGCTTTAAAAAAATTGTCGCTGGGCAGTGGTGGCGCACGACTTTAATCCCAGCACTTGGGAGTCAGAGGCAGGTGGATTTCTGAGTTCGAGGCCAGCCTGGTTTACAGAATGAATTACAGGATAGCCAGGGCTACACAGAGAAACCCTGTCGCAAAAAACCAAACATAAAATAAAATAAAATAAAATAAAATAAAATAAAATAAAATAAAAT